CCTATGAAGATGTTTCAGATTTCTTTTTTATCATTTCTGTAAAATATATCGATGGTTTTTAGCTCACCTCAACGAAGTTGGGGGAGCTTATGTAATACCGTCGGCTTCGGTGTCGGTGTCGGCGTCCCGGGTTAAGGTTAAGTTTTTTTGAGCAGTTTTCTTTTTAAGTACTTCTATGTCCTATATTGATTAGACATGCATGGAAGATGTTTCTAGTGTGTTTCATTGTACCAATAAAAGTTTCAGATGCTGCAATTTCAGCAAAGGAATGACCAGGTTAATGTTTTTGGAGCAGGTTAACATTTTTGGTGCAGTTTTTGGTGTGGGTTTCATTTCCAAGTAACTATAAGCCCTATGTTGACCAAACTTGCATGGATGATACATCTAAGGATGCATACTACCGGGCTTGCTTCGGATGCTGAATATGACCTACATTTTCCGGTTGAGTGAACAGGTTAAAGTTTTCGGTGTAGGTTTCATTTCCAAGTAACTATAAGCCCTATGTTGACCAAACTTGCATGGATGATACATCTAAGGATGCATACTACCGGGCTTGCTTCGGATGCTGAATCTGACCTACATTTTCCGGTTGAGTGAACAGGTTAAAGTTTTTGGTGCAGGTTTCATTTCAAAGTAACTATAAGCCCTATGTTGACCAAACTTCCATGGATGATACATCTAAGGATGCATACTACCGGGCTTGCTTCGGATGCTGAATCTGACCTACATTTTCCAGTTGAGCGAACAGGTTAATGTTTTTGGTGCAGGTTTCATTTGCAAGTAACTTTAAGCCCTATGTTGACCAAACTTGCATGGATGATACATCTAAGGATGCACACTACCAGGCTTGCTTCGGATGCTGAATCTGACCTACTTTTTGTGGATGAGTGAAAATGTTAGTTTTGATGCATGTTTCATTTCCAATAAACTATGAGCCCTATAATGAGCAAACTTGCATGGATGATACATCTAAGGATGCACACTAATGGACTTGCTTCAGATGCTGAATTGGACATACATTTTTCAGATAATAGACAAGGTAAAAGTTATGGTTTGCAGGTCTATTACCAAAAACTATAAGGCTTATATAACATTGTATAAACCAAACTTGCAAAAATGCTGCATCAAGAGATGAAAACTCTCAAATTTGCTTCAGATGCTGGATTTTCATTACATTTTCATGAAGAAGAAGTAGTTTAAATTTTTTATGTAGGTCTATTTCAAAGTATCAGATCAAAATTGCTTTTAAAAATATTTTCATTTTTGGAATGTATACTTTTTGTTGGTTAATTGTGTGACTTTGCCTTACTTAAAGACAACATTCGTTAGGTGAGCTCTGTAATCTCTGATTACCTATGTTTAAAGGAATGATTTTAAAAAACCAAAGGGGGTTGAAGAGTAAAAGCAGTGTTTGTATTTTGAGGGTGATTGTGTGGAATCTGTACCCAGCAGATTGGTCAGAGAGTACTGGTTAATATTTTGATACTGGGGTCACTCTAATATTTCAGTTGGAAGGATGGTCTGGCTTTCTGTGCCTTGATTCATCGGCATCGCCCAGAACTAATAGACTATTACAAGTTATCCAGGGTAAAAAAACAAAAAGTTCAATCCACTGGAATGGTTCTTTCGACTGTTTGTTTTTTGTTATGATGCTACTATTTCCCCAAATTTCCTTAAATAACAGTTTTAGCACCATTTCTTCCATTCTGTTTTTGTGAAGCTTCATTGACAGAAGTTATTCTTACTTTTAAAATGTGGAATGGTTCTAAAATTGCAGAATTGCTTATTCTCCACTGTAATTTTTGCATGTGATTTTTTTTGTTGTTTTTTCAAGACATGATTTTGAAAGAATGGCACATTGGTTATAAACTGTTAATAAGGGCAAGTTTTTGGCATAAATACTGCTCTTTTATGAGAAATTGAATTTCAGTAAATTTTGGTCTTTCAGAGTGTTGTGCCATTCTTGAAACTAAATATTCAATACAATTTAAGTTTATTGAGAAGACAGTTGTTATTTATTTTTAAAATTAAAGGAATCTTGAAGATACCAAATTATTGGCTTACATTAATCAGCTTGCAAGCATCTGTATCTTCAATGCTCTTGTTTACTAGGATGTTTTATTGTCAGTTTTCAAGCATCAAAACGACACAGAGTGTGTCTGCTGGAGAAATGGAAATGGAGATCATTTTGAACTAGAAAATTTGGTTGATACAGTGAAGTAACCAAAAATAATATGGAATTATTTATACTTTTGTTATCTAAATTTTTTTTACATTAAATTCCTCCATCATGCAACAGGCAAAGAGTGCTTTTATTTTAACAATCAGTTGACAGGGCTCGACATTAACGCTTGTCCGCTTGTCCGGTACCAATGAAAAAAAATTACGGACAAGTGAATATTGCTGGGCACTTGTCCGATTGGACAAGTGATTTTTTTATGTAAAGAAGTCTTCAAATAATAATAATTAAAAAAAAAACAACTATTGAAATAAGTTTATTGAATAAAAACGGAAGCAGTATATAAACCCGAATTTCGATCCCGATATCAATTGCTAAAGTGCACACTTGATCGGGATCTATGTTCACTAATTGCAGCCATACTTATTGCATGGCGTGGATCTTACGACGTTTGCGAGTTCGGAATATATTTGATTGATATTACAGATTCACTTGCGAACATTTATGTTGTTGTCAGGACAGGAAATCTAGATAAAATTTTGTGTTATATGTGTTTGTCTTATTTATCAATAACAACACTAATAAATCAAGCACGTTTATTTTTTTAATTTAAGTAATTGTTTTCAAGTTGACAGAATAAAATATTCATTGAAATTATTTTGGACAAGTGAAGTTGAAGTTCGGACAAGTAAATATCTTGGTCACTTGTCCGAATGGACAAGTAGGAAAAAAAGTTAATGTCGAGCCCTGGTTGAATGAATACTTGAATCCTGTCAGGTAATGCATGATGACACTTTGTTTTTCAGTGTTGTTTTATTTTAATAAGTAGAAAATAAGGCATGCATTGCTAAACAATCCTCCTTTTAATGATGTTCTTAACTCCTTGCATGTCACTCTCCATATTTCTTCAGCTTTAAAGATGGTTTGGCGTTTTGTGCCCTGATTCATAGACACAGGCCTGAATTAATTGATTACCATAAATTGTCCAAGGTGAGTTTCTGCCTCTACTAAACCTGTGTAATATTTCTTTCAGAAAAATTGCACTCACTTATTCTGCTGCACTGTTTTATTAACTATCATTCTCGCAGCTTTTTAGTCTGCATTTATTCTTTATATGCCTGGTTAGTAAACTTGTGCAGAAATACTATCTTCTTGTAACATTGTACATAAATGTAAAATTTTAAATATATGATACCTGCAATTGTGAATGATCATTTAGGTTTAGAGAGTTGTGAATGAATTTGAAAATCTAATATTTTATTTGAACATTAATTTTGTAACCAGAATTTTCTCCATCCACATATTGGCTTCCATTTATTCAAGTTTATTTTGTACTCATTGAACTCATGGTAAATTTATAGATACATTTTTTTCTTTTTTATTTCAAATTAATATTGGTCATTAATTGTACATTAATTGCAGTAAATATTATAGTTTGATAATTTTTTTATATATATATTTGCAGGAAAACCCACTAGAAAATTTAAACACTGCTTTTGATGTCGCAGAAAAACACCTTGATATTCCACGCATGTTAGATCCAGAAGGTACATATTTATGTAAATAATCAACAAGTCTCAGCAATGATAATTAAGGATGTACAACACACCTACCCCAAAAATTCCTGTCGTTTAATTTTCGTTATTTTTGTGTATTTAGTACATGACTATATCTACTGCATGTATGCACATTTTGGACAAAATCGTTCAAGTGGTTTTTGGACAGGAACTTCCAAAAGTTACCACCCTTTAGTTGTTTACAAGGAGAGAAAATTTTTAATCAATGAACTACTTAAACCTTGATTTTCAAAAAGCCAGGTTAGATATAAATGTCAAATTTCATTGGCTTATTCCTTTAACCATTTAACACAAAAACATAGTCATCTTTTTGATATACATATCATCAAAATAATTTTTAAAGACCTTAAACTGAAAAACTATGAATTATCTAAGCCTTGAAAATTGCGTATTTTTCAAATTCAAAATTTTTGTTGAAAAAACCTGTCGTTTAATTTTGGTAAAAAAACTTTCTTTAGGTAGCTGGTAGTAAAAATAATCTTCATAATTTTTTGTATAATTTTTATACGACCAGTTTTGATTTAATAGCGGAAAATTACCCCCTCCCCCTTTCTCAATAAATCACGTTCCCGTGCGTCTTTCAGACAGGGGGTCGATCACTTTGTTATATGAATCTACTTATACACATTAAAACAATTAAATTGGAATATTGCTTTTGCTTCAAAAGTATATTAACTTACAAATTTAAAAGTTCTCATATGGAAAGCGTATTTAAATGTAGATTTTTAGGCAATTTTTGAATACCCCTATAACCCCCACACCCTTTCTTTTTTGCACCGCATACCATTAGCGTTTGACGAAACGTTGTTTACAGTGCAAATATACTGGTATTTCGTCATTTGAATCCCGGAGGTATGCATTAGTTTTTAAATTCATGAATGCAGAATAAATATTGACTACTGTTTTTATATGTATCTGGAAAAAATTACTGAAGGATTTTAGTGTTTAGTCCATATATGTATGCGTTATGCATTCCATATCACATGAAACCTGGATACGAATTCAAGTTTTGTTGAACTTGAATATGTTGATTTTTAATTTTATTTCTTTAATTTTATTCATTAAAAAAATGGTGTATGTTCAACTCTCCTGTGATATAAATGGAATAATTGTAGTTTCTTTCATGTCATTATTTCAAACGAGACAGTATGTGCCGTGGGATATTTGCATAGATGTACACCCCTCATGATATTGTGTAGCATTTCTTTCAATGTCGTCGCTTCTAAGTTAAAATGAAAATTCCGCATTCGTCCACATTAACTTCAAAATATCAAACATTAAACTCTTCATCTATTTCAGTTTATATCAAGTCGCACTTAGATATTTTATAAAATCTTATAGGCTACGTTTTGTTTTGATTCGAGGAAATGCGAACCGATATTGTTGACAGAAAGTCAAACGATTTGCTGCAATGGGATATTCATAAACGCAGATAATTTCAGTACAAGTAAACAATTCTTTTCAATTCTATACTTACATTGTGTATATGAGGTCTATAGTATTCAATTCTCGGATTTATCAGGTCTTGCTGTAAATTTATCTGATTCTGTGGAAAACCGTGAATAAAGGGAGGAAAATAAAAATCTCCTACATTTTCAGAGTTGTTCCTCTTTGATCAGTAAGGGTCTGAGAACAACATCGATTTTACATTGTAAAAAGTTTTTTTGTTTATTTATTGTTGTTTTATTTAATCAAAGAAGAAAAACAATATTTATATCGTAAATGCACAAATTGTAATGACCATTTATCGGAATGTTACGTAGCCAATTGTACATAATGAGAATTTCGGCAATGTAAAATAAAATTTTCAGAATAAAAAAAAAAATGCTGCGCTTTGATCAAAAATACAATTTATTGTATATGAAATGAAATAAACATTAAGGGATGATATTTTATGTCTTGCTTTTTACGGAGTTTAATCGGGTTAATCAAAAAATACTTATTGATTGAGTATGGTAGGCACAATCACAGCCAAGCCCTATATCCCAATTTTCTTTCATGATTGATATACATCGGGATCGTTTTACTCGTCGTTTTGACGCTTTATTTTTGACGTTAAATTTGACGTCACGTCAAACGTTCAGTTGAAATCGCAAGAGTTATCTCCCCCAGTGTGTTGTACGTCTTTAAATAATAAATAAATTCTTAGTGCTTTCTGATTAAGAAGTGTGATGTGAATGCTCTTTTTCTAGATATGGTGAACTCAGTAAAACCAGATGAGCGTTCCGTGATGGCTTATGTGTCTTCATATTATCATGCATTCTCTGGGGCTCAGCAGGTAAATGAAATTTGCTGGCATAATATTAACCTCTCTGTCAGTCTCTGAAGTATCAATGTATCATGATCTGTGATTTGACTGATAAATCTCTATTCCTATTCTATGTAGGCTGAGACAGCAGCAAACAGAATTTGCAAAGTGTTGAAGGTCAACCAAGAAAATGAACGCCTTATGGAAGAATATGAAAGATTAGCTAGTGATGTAAGTTTACTGTAGATCACTTTATTTTCGCGTGATCGTCATTTCCTCTTTATTAGCGAGACAAATTTTTCAGGAATTGTGGTCATTACTCTATATAATCTTAAGGAATTCTATTATACGCGAGAATGAAATTTTCGCGAGCATACCGTCTCGCGTAATTACGCGATAATAAAGTTCTCGCTAATAAAAAGTGATTTACAGTATATATTTGTCTTCAATAAGTTTTAAGCATTATCAGGAAAAGGCTTGGATGAGGACAATTTTAATTGTAAAAAAGTCTTTGAAGTTGATAAATGTTAGGCTATACTAGTATTATGAGTTACACAGTTCTGTAGTGATCGGGTACGGCATGTTACCTGATTCATAAATTTCATGCCAGGTAAGGGAAAGCTGAGCCAGCTTTGAAATTTACTAACCAGATATTATACCTATCTGGTCAGTATTCAACTGTGAAACAAATTTAGATGAGGTAAATTCATATTTAGGTGTCTGTGGTTTGTAAAGTTGTTATATAAAATTGTTTTGTGAATGTTTCATGCAGTAGTAATCTACAGACAGTTTTTTACTTGTGTGTGAAATTTTATTTATGTTTATTTTTTATTTGTGTGTGTATTACAGCTTCTGGAATGGATTAGAAAAACGACCCCTTGGTTAGAAAACAGAACAACTGACAACACTTTACCTGGTACCCAAAGAAAACTGGAGGAATTCCGGGACTACAGACGTAAACACAAACCTCCTAAACTGGAAGATAAAGCCCGACTTGAGAACAGCTTTAACACCCTGCAGACAAGGCTTCGACTCAGTAACAGACCAGCATACCTTCCCACTGAGGGCAAAATGGTTTCTGTAAGTGATCTCGGAATGAATATATATTTACCTAAAAAAATTGTCGAAGTAAGTTGCACTTACTACCAAGATTCTACTGGTGGGAAACAATGATGCTTCCATGATTGCTTAAAATGGAAAACTCTACTCAATTATGCTTCTTTAATTAAGTTGCCAGTATTTTGTTACAGGACATTGCTAATGCTTGGAAAGGACTGGAATTTGCTGAGAAAGGTTTCGAAGAGTGGTTACTTTCAGAACTGCAAAGGTAATTATTCCACTGAAACAAATTTTCAATTTTGTTCGAAGATTTTAAAGATTATTGGAGTTTAAAAATATAAAATTAATGCTAGAAGGAAAATCATTAATTATTAAACCCATTCACTTGCAGACTTGAACGTCTTGATCATTTGGCTCAGAAGTTTAGGCACCGCTGTCAAATTCATGAAGAATGGGCCGAGGGCAAAGAAGAAATGCTCCAAAGCCAGGATTATTTGCGATGTGGACTTAATCAATTAAAAGTAAAAAGATTTTTTAAAAACTTATCTTGAATATTAGATTAGGCTATCTAAATTTAATTCCCTGGTTCTCAAGCCAATTTTCTCCAAAACAGATGC